GGGCTTATTGTACCCACCCCTCTAAAACCCACATCTGAACATGAAACACATTTAGTACTTGGACAACAATATTCATGGACATTAGCACAGTTTGTTGGAGAATTCCTAGCAATTAGCAAGAACCTTCTAATATTACTTTATGCAAAACAAACTGACTTGTGTATTTAAATGCACAACAGATCACTATAAGGACCCACAGGTAAGTGTCAGAGTCTCTGGATTCATCCCACAAGGCATTTCAGTGTTACTAGCTGATGGATATACTCTCTTCCTTCTGTATTTCCATCTTGCATTCTTTCTTTGTCTACAAAAGCATCTTTGCTCAGGGGCAACAGCCAAATTGGGTAGTGTGCTATGATGCCAATGAAGCCAAAGAAAAGGTCTGAGCCTTCTCTGAGTCACTGCGTTTTGCAGAGGGCGGAAAAAAAAAAAAAAAAAAAAACTCCCCAGTTCTCAAAGACATTCCATTTATCCCAGAGGCAGTGTGTATTGCTCAACCCAAAAGAGATTGAACAAAGTAACCCAATTCACTCCTAAACATACCCCATAAAAATAAACAAGCCCCAAATACTCAAACTCATATCCATCCTGAAATGGGCTGTGTCTGTTGATACAAGCATCTACTTAACAAACAACCTATTGTAAAGGCGCTGGAAAAACTAACCATGTTTTGATCCATTTTCTTTAGTCCCTAGGCAGAATCACAAATGAAACTTCAGTGTCAACCTCTTCAGTCCCTTCGATTATTCTAGTGACTGACAAAATTGGGGCATTTGTATCTGAACATAATCAGAACATTTTTCTGTACAGCTCCATTTCCTTTTAAGACAACGTATCGTAGTACCAATTTTTAAGTTTTTTTAGACCCTCAAACTCAAAACATGTTTGCATGAAACTATGAATAAATGCTAAATTTCCTGCCCGTAATGATACAAGTCTGGAAACCAATCTCTTAAAAAATCTATCATTTTGTTTCCATGACTCATTTTCTATGGGACAGTACTTCCTAACACTTTTCTTAGCTCCACCTAAGTAACAGCATAATGTGATTCATTATGATTTAGTATCTAAGTCCAAATTATTACTACCAATTGGGTGGCCTAATATATTTTATTTATAATATCTGTATACCTCAGTTTCCCCATGTATAAAATGTGTAAAAAAAATCACTCCTTTAAAGGATGGTCTCAAGAATTAAATAAAATGGCCTATAGTCAAATGCTTAAAGCAAATGTTTATTCTTTATTAATGCACTCATTTGACAAATATCCATTATCTATTATATGGAAGACATCATTTAATTAGACTTTACCTAATTTTTCTCTAAAAAGTTTTTAGTTAAACAAATATTTTTAAAAAACATTTCACTCAAAAGTATACCATTTACTGTGGGGCACAGTGGCACAGGCCTGTAATCCCGGCAGCTAGAGAGGCTGAGACAGGAGGATTACGAGTTCAAAGCCAACCTCAGTAAAATGAGATGCTAAGGAATTCAGTGAGACCCTGTCTCCAAATAAAATACAAAATAGTGCTGGGGATGTGGCTCAGTGGTGGAGTGCCCCTGAATTCAATCCCCAGTACCAATCCCCCTGTTCCCCAAAAATGTATATCACTTACTATGAAGAAAGAGCTACTTAAGGCAACCAAGGTTTTCTACATTTTAAGTTATGAATTTTTTTTAACTAGAGAAGTTAAAAAAAGTTGCATCTCAGCCCTGGAACACCTTTTAATAAAGAACATATTAAATGTATAAAGCAGGTTGGGAGGAAAAAAAACAATTTTTACCAATAATGTATCTACTAGCTACAATTATTGCTTTGGATTTACTTTGTGGTTCTTTAGCTTAACTTATTTACATGCTGAAAAGTCTATTATGTAAAACTCAAGAGAGACAAAGTACCTAAAGCATCCTGACACACCACTGCCAAAGCCCACTTTCTGTCCTGGAGGTATGTAAGGTGAGCTGAGAGACTGTGGGAAATAGCATAGCCTTCTGTCCTTGGATTGGAAAGGAAAGGAAATGGCTAAAATTTCAATTGCAAAATCTCTGTCAAATGTGGGATACAGTGATTGTAATAAAAATAAATTATCTATTTCTAGAAAAAGGAAACTGCTGCCTATCATCCAAATTTCAGTTTCACCATAAGCCTGGATAAAAGGACTGAATATATGTCTTATAGCTCCTCTATGGCTCAGTTTGTTATGGGAAAATAGCCTTCCTAAATGCTATAAAATTCTCTGCTTGTGCAGAAAATCTCAATAAAGGTAAAAGTGACTTAGGGCAAAAAGGATATATATGTTCTCATTTTGGGGGTGATAATACACAAAATGCAATATAATATGCCAAAATCAACAATTCTGTTCTCAATCTAGTAGTTTAAGTAATTCTATCTATAACAAGATTTGGTTTAAAAACAAAACAATAATTAATGGTTACCAAGGGTTAGGGAGAGAAGAAATGAAGAGTTATTGTTTCATGGGTAGAGGGTTCAGTTTGGAGTAATGAGAAAGCTCTGGAGATGGACTCTGGTGACAGCTGTGACATGGATAGATGTAATGTCCATGAATCCTACAGTTAAAAATGGCAAAATGGCAAATTTTATGTATGGTTATTAAAACATTTTTTTAAAATTGTTTGCATAAAAGAAGAAATAACATAAAAGAAGAATGTGTGACTTGTTAAAATCCTTATTTGTCGAAGTCAATAATAAAAGTCCCTCAAAGCAACTCAGTTATGAGCACCTAATTAGAATGAGTCAGTAACAAAACAACACCATATTGTCATTTGGTGAAAGTCATTAACAATGCCAGGAGAGTATATTTATTGAAATATACATACACACATGTACATATGTATATATTAACATATACATGTACATACATTCATATGCATACAATACGTGCATATACGCAAATGAACACGTGTACATATATACAGATACAAATGTATGTACAAACATGCATTTATGAACTAGATAACAATAAGTTTGTATAGCTATCTCTTTTTTGTGTGCATGTGTCAAATAATAAAAGAAACCATGGTGGGGGTTGGTCAATATATATAATGTAGAATTAGAAAATGTGTTACTGAATAAATCAGACTTGCACACAACCTCCAGTCTCACAGCACAAAAATGCTGTGAGAATGGGGTCTAAATTTCTGACTCCCCCTGCCCCAGTCTCCCCTACCCACAGACAACGGGGTTGGTTTCTGTCTGCTTACCACTAGTCCTAGCACAAGGGTGCGGACTCTTTCTCCAATCTCTGGTGAGATGTCATTTCCAAACTGCTGCAGGGTAGTGAGGAACCGTTTCAGCTTGCTGAGTTGCCTGGCACCACAGGCTGGGGGCAGTTGTTGATTAGCCAGAGAAGAGGAGGAGGAAGAGGAAGGCCCATTGCTAAAGCCATTGGGCGGCGAGGGGGCGCCATTCAAGGCTGTAGGCGAATGGCTTGTGCCATTAGTTACTGTCAAGGGCACAAAATCAGTAGGAAAAAATAAAATAAATAAACTTACAGAGAACATGCACAAGGAAATTGCTATCAAGTTTCTTCCCCCTGAAATCTAGTGATTTTGCAATTACAAAAAATGTCTGGACTTTTTGCAAAATGATTAGACTTCACAAGATCACCAGACTCAGGCACTCTCTCACTAAATGGGTCTATTCCACACACTCAGAGATGGCATTCTGCACAGAAGCTGATGATAAATGGAGTCTGTTGAAACACAGGGCCAGCTCTGCCTCCCATGTGCACATATGCCAACCACCTGAAATGCTTCAAACATAGAACAAACAGCTTTGCAAGTCAGCCTTTTGTCACAGGCTTACATCAATATAACAGGACTATTCCTTCCTAAACTGCTCCCCTAGAGAAAGTGTACATTTGGTGGAGACTAAATTTATCACTGAACATTTTTAATCATGTTTTGTACACACAACTGACAGCTGTGTTTATAGAAATAGACTTTCAAGTTTTAACCTTATACCACCCAATTAGAAGGCTATTTTCTCCCCCTCATATTTCTTAACCACTTATTTAGGGAAAAAAATGCAAATTTTACGTAAGAAGCCCAAATGGATATGGTATTTATCAAGGAGTTATTTCAAGAAATTGAAAGGAGACACCTCAATCCAACCAAGAGCATGGCTTGGTATAATTCAGTAAATTTATTTCCAATGAAATTCATTATTATTGATAATAATCCATACAAACTAGGCTAGAAAAAACTTGCACATTTCTCACTGAGGAAAATAATGATTCCATTATTTTAATTCAGTTAATTTACCAAATTAATCTTTATCAATCCCATTTTTAAGTATAATTGTGATTAACTATCTCTAGTAACATTCTGAGGAAGTTGTTAGGAACCAGTTTTTCTTACAGTTTTATTTCAAGATAATAATGTAGTTCTTTTATCCCAAATGAGAACCAAAGTAACCTGTCAAGAAATGATAGCTCAGCAGCCATCTCACAGGAGACATATGCCTATCACTGTGACTTTGGGTAACAACAAGCGAAATGTAAGATGACAGGGTTACAACTTGGCACGTCACAATCTTCTGTTCCTTACACATTTGGAAAGGTCTTTTAAATGGCAGCACAACACTGCATAAACAGCTTAGGATGTGTATTTTTGTTGATCCCTTATAGTCCCACAGATCTATTTTGGCCTGTTAGTTATTTTTCCTTCCTATGGATTTCATGGCACATGGTCTGTAAATAGTATTATCTGCAACAGATAACATTTATTAGTTTCACAAATCCTCGATGACAATTCTAAACAGAATTTTGAGATCAACTAAAACAAAGCTATTCCCTCTCTCTGCTGGAATATTCAGGAAAGAAAGGGAAGTTGCTACTCTGTCAGTGTTATGTCCTTTCCTGGGATAGACAGAAAGCAATACACACCACTGGCTAGGAATACAGGATTCAAGCTAGGTGGTAATGGAGCAAAGGTTTAACAAAAGCCTGACAGGCTCAAGACAAGGTTGATGCTACCAATTTCAAAAGGTATCCGCATGAAACTGCTGTGCACAGCAGTACTTTTTTTTAACTTAAGGAAGCCAGATTTTTAACATTATAATTATTCAAAATAAAGGAAAGTGGTATTAGAAGATCAGAAGTAACCTAGAAATATATTCTAAGTCAAAATAAACTAAAATAAAGAGCTCCACATTAGACAAATTTAAAAGTTATAGGGGTGAGAATTAGAGGTACCAAACAAACTCAATGTTCTTCCTTTGCTAGAATCATAGGAGACTCCAACTCCAAAGAAATAGTGCAAAGGAAAGCAAATATTGGCAGTCATGTCAAGAAGACGTAAGATAGGATAACTACTGACTAGCAAACTGATTTTTTTGCTGCGTTTCTGCATAATACATTTTTTTCCCTTTTTATTTGCAGGAAAAAAAATTTAATTTAATCTTCAAAACCAAAACATAAAATCCAAAAAAAATGACTACTTACATGTTGTTGGCGTAAATGAGCTGGTTCTTGGAGCTCCTTGAGTGGTTGGGGGCGGTGGCATGGTTGGAGGAGTCAGCCTAGATTGCGTCTTCACATCCACAGGTGAGTCTGGCATTGTGGAGTGCTTCTCAGTACGATCTGGAGGGTGCCACCAGGAACAGGTTATTCTACGCCTAAGCACCTCAGTGTTTCAAGTGGGATTTATCTTTTTAAAAAGCAAGTGAACAGAAGAAATTCAACATCTTCTATCAATAAACTGCGCTTATCTACAAAAGTTTAAATCAGGATTTTATCATCCAAACTCCACTTAAGAAGGGGTAGCACAGATGGCAAGACCTCATTTGTAACTAGGTTATATTATATCCTATTGTTATTTCTGGCTTGGGCAGATGCTACCTTGGTAGTGTTATATGCAACAGCACAACTTCACTCAAAGCTGAAGCCAACATTAGCAAGAAGCAGAAAATAGATGAGGAAGAAGGATGATAATGAACCCCTTATGACAGCCCAGAAATAACAAAAACCAAAGTCTGTTATGCAGGTGAGACACTGGCAGGAGCTGGTTCTGTGATGAATTTCTGTAACACCTGCCATCCCCTTTCAATATGCCTGGTTTTTTGGCCTATTAGATGAAACACATTATGTCTCACAGACATATCTCTCCCTTCAATTTTATCTTCCCTGCTTTAAAAATCACCACTACATAAATGCTATAAGTTTCACAATGAAGTCAAGCTATTATTTACTTAAGAATGTGTGCATCTTTGACCTGTCACTTTAAAAACATGAGATCAGAACTCCAATTAATAATCTCAGACAAGTCAGCATGTAAAAGCCCCAAATTGAGAACTAATAAAATCTAAAGACACGCCTATTTTTTTTTAAGTATGAGGCAGATACAGAGAATTTTCCTGATTACTCAACAATGAACATTTATAATGCAGAACTATAGTCTCGTAAGTATACTTTTCCCTTGAAATCTTGAACAGTTTTTCTCAATCCAATCTACTTATTAAAGCAATAAATCTCGGGAAAAATGAAGTGGGTTTTTTTGTTGTTGTTTCTTTAGATCAACTTTCCTATAAATATTTGTGTATATACAAACCAAAAATATTTCTAGATGCTTCCACAGCTCACAAATATTTCTTATTCAAAGTCTTAGCAAAGTAACATAACAAACTATTCAAGAACAGGCCTTTTAAAATATTATAATCATAGTGAAAATTTCTCAATATTACTTAAAAATCAGTTATTAAAAGAAAATGAAAAGCCCAAGTTACTACAACAATTCCAAATCTCAACAAGACTCTGTCTCTAAATAAAATATAAAAAAAACGGCTTAAGATATGGCTCAGTGGTTAAGCACCCCTGGGTTCAACCCTTACCCCTCCCCCCAAAAAATTCCAAGTCTAGTTCACCTTTGTTCAAAACAATTTCTTTAGACTTAGTTTGTAATAAAATATTTTTAAAAATCAAAATAATATTGATACCATATTAAGAAAGATGTGATAAAAAGAATAAAAATAATAATTCTAATAAGTGCATTTTGTATGGTGATCAGGTAACAGTATCAGGGTCTCTGTTTCTTCCTTTTTACTGCTGGCTGAACCGTAAATGTCCTAGATTTATAAAAGTGTCCTGAGTGAAACGATAGCAGACACATAGAGAGTTTTTCTACCTCTATCTTATTGTTCAAAAACTTGTTTTCCTATTGTTATTCCAGAGCATTTAGAAAGTAGTATCAGTACATCATTTATTCTAGAAAAAATACACAAGTTAGGCAGACTTAAAACTGCTTCTTCAATAAATTCATTGCACATTCTACTCACCTCAACCAACCTCAGCAACAAGGGAATAAATAGCTTTCGGCTTATGTTGCCGCTGAGGGAAGAGGTACAGCAGCAAATACAAGTCTCCCTAAATAAAGGCAAATATTTCTGTCATGCCAAGAAAGGAGGGAGAGAGGGAGGCTTGCCAGAGTCGGCTGGGAGATAACAGTGGGAACTGCTGGTCCATCTGGCTTTCATTCTGCTAACACTCACATGGAACTGTTAGCGAAGGCAGTCCAGATACACAGACTCGAAGCACGTGGTTGCACAGACAGAGAAAGGAAGAGCAGGAGGGGGAAGGGGAGACGGAAGGAATGAAAAAACAAATAAGCAGTAGAAGGAAAGAAAAAAAAAAAAGAAAGAGGGAAAAGAACAACAGAGAGACAGGAGTCTCCAGGGAAGAGCTGCCCTCACGGATCCATGTGCCCTGGCCTTGGAGCTGACCCTTGATGGCCACAGCTCCACCATCCTATCCTCATAACAGTTAAGGGCCAAACACAGACTTTAAAACAGATCTCAAACCCATGCTACTTTCTTTTCAAAATAGCCCACGTTAAGAAAATAGGCTGCCGACTATCAATGAAGCTGTCAATGGGTCTCCTCTTCACATCTGAGATCTGAATTTATATTTATAATAATCTTTTTATTTCTATCTTCATCTCAATTTGAGACAGATTTTTGACTTATTCATAATTTTGACTGGAAAACATATTACATACCAGTCTCAGTCCATATTTGTAACATGGTTCCTGTACAAAGCACCATCATCAGAATAGGTAGGTGATTTCTTTTTTCATTTTTAAAATACCATCAACATTCTCAGCATAGTAACCATTGAACCAATGGATAGAAAAATACCACCGTCCAAAACAGGACATATACATTCTAACTGGAATATATGTATGTGTGTGTTTGTGTGTGTGTGTGTGTGTGTATATATGTGTGTGTGTGTGTGTGTGTGTGTGTGTGTGTGTGTGTGTGTATATATATATATATATATATATATATATATATATATATATATATATTGCATTTTGACATTAGCCAAATTTCTGCGATGGTTGGCTTCCCTCTGATCAAATGGAGTTCCAACCCAGAGGTCCTACAAACTGAGACAAAGTGGGACCATATGTAACTCATTCTGTGCTGTTCAGAGCAATCAATCCAGGATGGAGATAGATGGTGAAATAACGGGCAGGGCCTAATCCATACACACACAAAAACCCTCTGGAGAAGAGAGATTTAAGATAAATTCAGAAAATATGTTTCAAGTATTCTGAGCTCTGCTGCATTTGTTTTGGATTATTTGGGGAAAAAAAATTCTGAAATATATATTCTTGAAACTTTTATAGCAAACAGCACAAGAGCTATGATTTAACCACAGAAGCATTTCACTCCATTTCAAATTAGAGGACATGGTAAAACCAATATTAAGTTATAGTATATCTCATGTAATTTTTTAAGTTCATGAAAATTATACTTTTCTGGTATGTAATTTTTATTTTTTAGTTGCTGGAGGGGAATGCTGACATTTATTGAAAGAATGACATGAACTGATTTTTTTAAAAAATGAGGAAGAGAAGGAGGAGGTAAAAAAAAGGAGGGGGGAGGAAAGAGAAAGAAAGAGGAAAAAGAGATAAAATCTATTTGATCAGGCAGGGAAGGTAATTCTAATCAGAAAGGGCTGACTTTACTTCTATCATAATGATTCACATCACTCATAAACAAGGTGATCTTCTCTATCTGGTAAGATTTCTCTCACTTGGCAAATATCCAACACATATGTACCAAAGATGGCTGATGCATGGAAGAAAATGTGGCATATATAAATACATTATTGACACCATTTCAATATCCAATTCATTGTCAGGGCCTTCTAGAAGTGGTATGTTTTCCATTTCCTTTTTTTTTTAAAAAAGTAAAAAAGAGAATGTATGGCATAATCTGCGTTGGCACTTCTTTGACTTCAACTTAAACAGTTCCAGATGTGTTTTTAAAATATGAAAAATAGATATTCTACATTTTTCTTGTTGATATACCATTCCAGACATAGTATAAAAGGAAAGGTCATTTTCGGTAGGTGGCACATCTTTTCTGTCAGAGTTTATCATATCAGTTATAAATCTCAGAGATGTAATGGATTATGAAGAATTTCTCAGGCGTTTGTCCAGGGTTAGTCATACTTGAAGAAGTTTTGGTTAAGGAAGCTAAAAGGTATTTACAACAAGGGATGGGCGGAGGAGAATAAAAGTTCACTGAATTAGATGAAGGGGAAGAAGGGGGATGGGAATAGGAAAGGCAGTGGAATGAATCAGACATAACTTTCCTGTGTTCACATATGAACACATGACCAGTGTAGCTTCACGTCACGTACAACCACAGGAATGGGAAGTTATACTTCAGGTATGTATGTATGATATGTCAAAATACATTCTACTGTCATGTATATCTAAAAAAAAAACCTGGAAAAAAAAAGAATTATGACATAGTAGAACCCATGTACTACTAAAAGATAATAGGAAAGAGGGCATAGAATTTTAACTGGACAAGGTGGCAACTAAACTAGAGTTCTGACAATAGTCATTTAATGACTCCAATGTCTGGGTGTGAGATGTTACAGGCCACCACCCATGGACTAGAATGGTGGCGATGGCTACTTTTGCCTTCCATCCTACCTCCACGTTTCCCTGATGAGCACTTCTGGGAACGCCCATTCCTGCTCAGAACCCTTCCACAATGCCTGAGAATGGGAGTCAGTGCTAACCTTGTAAGCACAATGGAATGATACAGTGGAGGGATATCTGGCCTATTAGGACAACTTCCAAGTTAAGACAAACTGACTTCAAATGTGGACTCCTCGACCACTAGTAGGGAACAACCACTAGTGGCTTTCTTGAGCCTCAGTCCCTCAGAAGTAAAATGGGGATACAATCCTTCATCACTCAGAGATATGTGGTGAAAAATGAGACAAATGTGTTCAAAACCCTAGCATGGTGCTACTTATATCAGGCACCAACAGATGTGAGCTTTGTTCTCCTGATCCACACCGGCTATTCCCTCAAATCTATACTCTATCTACACACGGCATCTTCCCTGACTTTTTTGCCTTTTGCTTTAATGCTGTGGTTTCCCTCAGCCAACATGACCTGCCCCATTTTGCACATTCTTCACTTCCCATTATAGATCACACACATCCTATTACAGCTTTCTTTAGCTGCCCTAGGCACTGACCAAACCACAGAACCCCTGCCTCTCTTCTGTCATCTGTATACAGTTGGAGATATCTATAGTACCACTCCAACCAGCGAA